CCATTCCAGATCCTATGCCTCCACCTGCACCATCATCTGAGATGTTAATCCCCAATTCCAATCCAACATCATCTGGTATATCTTGTGCCCAAGTTTCTTCTCTTTATCATAATCTATCTTATGGTTTCAAACTGAAAGATTTTTATGATAGAGTTGAACCTTCTGAACCCCTCAACCCTCTGAAACCAAAACTTAGACAGACTCTTCCATCTGTGATTCTATCTTATATTCAATCAATGACCAATGTAGGATCTTTAGCAACCATATCTGCAACGTCTGGTAAAGCTGTTGTTTCAGCTCTGCAACTTGCATCTGATAACACAGTTGCATCTACTGAACCACCAAAATCTGCTTTCAAACCATACTCAAATGCACCTTTTGATGTTGTTTACCATCACACAAAACCAAAACCTCATTTGCTTAATTAAACAGATCCTTACCTCAAAAACCAGAAATTCCTTTCATTCCATATTATCCTCCTCCTCTGATTTCCATCCAAAAATCACTTTTTCCACCAACTCCCAAACCTAAACATATAACCCTGGAAACCTTGCTTAAACCACAGCCCAGACTTAATATTGATCATTTATTTCAAACTTTTTTGCAAGAAATACAGATGTCTTTAGGTACTGTTCAGAAGAAATGCTCTGAAACAATGGATGCCAATGAATCTGACATCATCTGGAAAGGATTCATCAATAGATTTAACACTGTAGCTTCAAATCTGAAGAACGTCTGTTCTGATGATGCAAAGCTCAGAGCTGAAAGGACTCTATTCTGGACTGTCAACAAAACTGAACCTCTGCTTCGTTTAGATGTTCCTCCACCATCAACAGAATCTACTGCTAATGCATTAACTATGACTCCGGTAGAACCTTCTTCAGGATCTACAGAACCAATGGCAATTGACTCTGTTCAGGCTACAGAACCTCCTAATTCTTCATCTGAGATAAAGACAGAACATCCAGACTTTGAAGACAAGATTGCTGCTCTGGAGGCTGGACAGTCTGAGATAAAATCCTGGATGGCTAAGCAGGACAAGAAGTCTGAGGATATGACAGAATGGATGTCAAAGCAAGACGAGAAGAATGAAACTATGACTAAGTGGATGTCCAAGCAAGAGCAATCCTCCTCTGAGATTACAGATCTATTGAAGATGCTTTTGTCCAAACACACTTAGATTTTTTTCATTCTAATGTTTTTGCATCTGTTGTTTGCATCTGTACCTTATTGCTATATCTTTTGTTGATTACCTATGTACTCTTGCTCTGATATTTTGAATGAATCAAGTTTTCTCCATTGAATTATCTTATTTATTGTTCCTTTTATTTGTTTTTGTTAAAAGTTTTTACTTTTTGCTTATGACAAAAAAGGGGGAGAAAATATAGATCTGAACTGTTTAATATAACTTCACCAGAATGAATCTTCAGATATATCTACTCTATCTAACATTTAACTTGACTATTTCAGAACATTTGATAAGAACACTCTATAAAAGAAACTCTGAGTCTCTCAGATCATTTGTCTATTATCAAACTCTGAATCTTATATCTGCAAGACATTCTGACCTTAAAATGTTATAAGAACAAACAAGATCTAACTCTGAAGATTACTCAAGACAAAAGGGAAGTTTCTATTCCTTTTTCATATTTAACTCAGGGGGAGATTCATCATCTCAGGGGGAGTTATAATTCTTTATGTTCAGTTAAATAAAATTTCTGATACTTTTTGTCATCATCAAAAAGGGGGAGATTGTTAGAATACAGATTGGTTCTTAATAATAACTCTTTGTTTTGATGATAACTGTTAGGAAATTTAATATTTAAGAATTATATACTCTAAAATTTGTTTGAGAGTTTTACTGCAGATTGAAATGAAATTAACACTCTAGAAGCAAATTTGTATTGTATACAAGAAGTTATCCTGACTCTGAAGCGCCAGATGCATCTTACAGAAGAATCTGATTGCTCTTTACAGAAGATCCTGAGCGTAGTCTCCAGAAGGATCTGAAGCAAGAAGCTCCAGAACATTCTGAGTCAGAAGCATCTGAAGCTGAAGCATCTGAAGCTAGTCAGAAGCATCTGAAGCTGAAGCATCTGAAGCAAAGAAGAATATTGTTTGAAGAGTTTCTCAAAGCATAATTCTACAGAAGTTTCTGAAAGTACTAACGCTGCCAAGTACTGAAGTTCTGTGTCATATATGCTCTGATGATCAACACGCTGAAAGCACACACGCTGCAGAAGACTCTGATACAGCAAAGTTTTGAATATCATTAGAAGACTCTGATCCATTCAGACTCTGAAGAACTTGCTGAAAACTGAAGAAGAAATATTCAAGAATATATCCGTTGGAGTAAATCAACGTCTCTTTCCTCATTTGTGCTAGACACAATTACACAGACAAAAAGGATTTTTCTGTGTTATCTACTTCAAGGAAAGGTCACTTGATGTGAAGACAAAAAGGGTCAGACCTTTTTGGGACTCTCTTTTCAACGCTCAGCATCCTAGGATCAGCTGCCTATAAAAGGAGAACTCCACCACTTTCTTCAGTGACACAATTTGCTGAAAAGAAATCATATTATTCTAAGCTCTCATTATTTCTTATTCTTCTTAGAATTTCTTGTACTTAAACTTAAGAGAAAAATCACTGTTGTGATAAAAGCTTTATAGAAGCATTAACGCTCTTGTATTTAATTTACATTGATTGTAAAGATTTTTTCCTTAAGAGGATTCAGTTGGAATCAGTAGCTCTTGAGAAGACTAAGAACAGTTGTTCTTAGGTGTTACTATTGTAATCAGTTTGATTTAATAGTGGATTAAGTCCTTGTTGAGAAAGGTAAATCACTCTAGGAAGGGTGGACTGGAGTAGTTGTTTAAACGAACCAGGATAAAAATAATTGTGTATTTATTTTTTAAGTCTTAATCTTTCATACTTATTCAACCCCCCTTCTAAGTATTATCTCACCTTCAACAAATGCTACTAGAAGATAACAATGTGTTGGATCGTTGTTATGAGGTCAAAAAGATATTGTGTCCAATGAGTTTGGAATGTATATCAAAATACATGCATGATGTAATGGTTTCATATCATACAGGAAAGAGTATGAAAAATTGGATTAATGTTCGTAATATGGTGAGTCATGCTACAAGGTGAAGGACAACAGTGGTGATGACTATCACGCTGTTAGTAAGAAGTGTCCTCTTGTTAAAGTATTATGGTACTTGCTAATAATTCCAAAGTTCAAGAGAATTTTTTTTCTAATGCGAATGATGCAAATAATATTAGATTCCCTGCAAATAAAAGAAAATGTGACGAAAAGATTTTTCATGTAGCTGATTTTTTGCAATGGGAAAAAATTGATTCGTTGTTTTCAGAGTTTGGCCTTGAGCCAATAAACCCTAAGATTGGGCTTGCCACGAATGGAATGAGCTCATGCGGTAATCTGAGTTATAACCATACTTCTTGACCGGTTTTTCTCACAATTTACAACCTACCTTCTTGTTATCTATGATGATGTATGGACCCAAACAACCTGGAAATGACATATATGTTTATCTATGTCCATTAATTGAAGATTTAAGACTTTTGTGGGAGGAAAATGTTGACATTAATGACACGTATTCAGGTGAAAAATTTAAGGTTTAATACAATTTTTAGTCATGTATCTTAACTTCGAAGTTCATTTTGGTCCCTTAACTTTAAAAAGGTCCATATTAACTTATTAACTTTCAAAATGTTTCATATTAGTCATTTTTGTCTAATCACCTATAATTATTACATTTAATATTATTATTCTAAATATACTCCTACTTTTTTCACATTTTTATGTTTTTTTACAATTTCCAAGAAAAAAAGTAGTGGCAAAATTATAAAGAGTATAAGAATTTAATGCATTTATACATTTTTTTAATGGATGAACTTTTTTGTAAAATTGTTTATATATGAGACCAAAGGGAGTATAAATGTGGTTCACAAATGATTTGTTTTGTTGTTTCTGGTCTATTTACAATTCTAAAAAATACATGTAAAATTTTTTGAAAATTCAATAAAATCAGAAAGTTATATTAAAAACAAATTATTTCACACGATTGATTCTTTCAACCGTGATTATATGTAAGAGTGTTATCTAAATTTAAAAATTCCTAAAATGACATTGTTGGATATCGAATCCAAAACCTTAAATCATTTTACTACGGTTATTTATTACAACTATAAAAACATGTAGTGCATTGCCAATTTATTATCACGTACTATAGACCGTAATTGTTAGTAATCGATCACAGACAACTTTACCATAAACCATTGAATATGGTTATATTTATGAAATATGTTATCTGCAATATGTCAATCCAACGAATGGTATTATGACTTATTTTGCAATATGGGCCTAAAACATAAAATATAATAATAATTATTGGTTTTTTTTTTAAACTATTCAAATCTACCACAAATTCACTAGAATATGATTGTGCCAATGCAATCACAAGCGTTAAATCCCAATCAAACGATTTATATGACTTTGTCCAATCTCAATCAAACGAATTATATTCTTACATTACAAGATAGATTTACAATATGAAATTATTAAACAATATAATAGAGTATCATTGTAGTTAGGTTAAAAATAATCTAAACTTATGTTTTATTATTATTTTTGTATCTCTTGTATTCATAACTTCCATATTTTCATTAAAAACAAAACACTGTTTCTTCTTTCCCTCGTTCTTTTTATCTATAAATCATCATTGTTAACAGAAGTATAATTATAAATTATCCTCATAATCAAATGATCCAAATATTTAAAAGAATGATTATGCTATACTCTAGACTACTCTAGACGATTTACTTCCCCATATTGGCCTTCTCTATATAAAGCCACCAATAATTACAAAACATCAATTAGAATTTAAGAGACAAAGAGTGAGTAAGAGAGGACAATCCTTAACCTCCACATATCTCTCTCCCACACTTCTACATACCCTTAATTTCTGAACACTAACATGGCTTCACAAATTGTTAGTGATGTAAGATGCCAAACACTAATGCACTATGCAGCCTCTTATGGTGAAAGAGGAAGCAAAAAGACACTCTCTAGTCCCCAAAACTACAGTTACCATAAAATAAAGAACAGCAAAATCTACACTGGAGAAGGGAACTTCAAAGAAATGTATAATAATAAGGAATCACTAGATCAAAAAGGTGCAAAAAGTAGCACAAATCTAGCTCAAGCACAGAAGCTTCAGAGGTTGGGATTCTCTTACCTTGCAACATCTTTTCTTTACATGGCAATTAAGGTAAAAGCATTCTACAAAGGATTCATTGGAGATGTTGCAAGTGAATCAAGAATGGTGGGAATTGAAGCACCTGTGGCAGAGGCATATTTCTCAGTTCCGGTTCTGCCAAATTGAGATAGCAACAATATTATAAAGTATTATTGTAATTAAGTTCAAAATAATCTAAATTCATGTTTTATTGTATATTATTTTCTGTTTCAAATTTGTTAAAATACAATAATTTACCGTCTCCAGCTTCGTCGTTATCAAGCTTCGTCACCTTTAACTTGGGATTTGGATCCTCTCCTTTTTTATATATCATGTCATCTATCATGTTTCTAATCTAACGGTTTATAATTTATAATGTACAAATTATTCATTTTATTTAATTATTTATGTACAAATTACTTATCTATTTTTCTCTCCTATTAAATTACTTTTTTTATTTAATTATTCATTATAAATTTTGAATCGTTAGATTAGAAACATGAGCGGTGACATAATATATAAAAAAAGGAGAAGATTTAAATCCGTCCAATTATATATGTGGTACAAAATCTAACTCTAATATTATTATGTTAAATACCTCGCCCTCTTAAGTTTTTAAAATCATATGTAAATTAACGGAAGTTTTATTATGTCAAAATGAATATAGATACTTCATTTAACCATGATTTATATGTAATAATATTAAGATCTATTTAAACACGGTTTTATTATGACAAATTTAAGATCATGTATGAAATTCTGTCTTACACATCTTCAACGATTAACCGAACAACTTCAATACAAAAGTCAGTGTAATTTGTTCTTCAAAAATTCTCATCCTCAACATAAATCTTTTAGTCAAAATCTTAAAAATTTCATTATGCATTCAGCATTTATTATGGCCACGTGAAGAATTTAATTCAAGCACAGTACTTATAACAAAATTAGTTGAAATGTCAAATATTTGATGGGTCTCACAAGGCACCCCATTTAAAGTTTCTGATACAGACCCTTGGGATAAGAGTGTCTATAATCATTCCCAAGGCATAAGGGAAAAATGATGATATTTGCCTTCCATCTAAAGACTTAATTAAATCCTCTATTTTTTCTCTCATATATATTATATTTTCTAAACCATAGTAATAAGAAAAATGAAAATAATGACATATACCGAATCACCTATATTCTAAGCTTTTACGTCATGCCTTTTAGAGCCATATGATAGCATAATGTTTCAATATCAAATACCATATTAAGATATGAACATTGTCTAGAGAATTTTGTTCTCAAGCTCTATTTTTTTTATAAGATGTGTCTAGAATTCCAACAATGTCTACACACTTCTTCAGAGACTTACCAGTTTAAGTGATAAACGTTATTGATTGAAAAAGCAATAGCATGCCCTTGCAACTTGCAGAACATGTGGTTCCAGAGTTGAAACAAAAGGCTCCAATAACAGTACCTGAATTGGCCATGGACCCCATCTCATTAATAAACAGAATTTTTTATCAAGTGAAGTTTGGAAAAGCATATATTTGTAAGTGTGAATATATATATTTTAGATTTAAGAGAGATACTCCTGATTACAATATGATCATCGTAAAATAAAAACGAAACTTCGGATTAAGGATGTGTTTTAAGATCCGGGTTTATTCATTTGATGTTTTGTTTATAATATTTGATTTTGTAGAATCAATCGTCATAAATTTTATGTCATATTTTTTGATTTAGATTCATTCATTTGATGATGTTTATAATATTTGATATTGTTGAGTCAATCATCAAAATCTATTTCAACATTGAATCATAAATTAAGTTTCTAAAGTAATTGTTATTATGATAAAAAGAGATTGAAAATCTATTATCATAGAATTTCTAACTCTTATACAACTTTGATTCCAATTAGGCCTGTATGAACAAAGCTTGATAAAAATCAAAATAGTTGGTAGTTTTTTAATCGGATTTGATGTGGCATACATGTTGAGAGTATAATTTAAGTTGTGTAACCCAAATCAAAGTCCAAGTTAATTAGGGTTAGGATTTGTTATATAAGTTACTTAGTACTCAATTACTTAGTTGTATACACTACTACAAAAAGGCTATACAACAATGCACACGTTATCACGTCCAAAGGATCCATGGTGGTAGAATCTATTCAATTAGGTGCTTTCTTTTTATTTTCATTTTTAAGCCACTTTTCACCACAATTGAAAGTTTGAAGTGTGGTAAAAAGTGACGCATGGTCATGAGTTTGAATCCTGTCGTCGTTATTGTTCTACTGTCGCATTTTTTATTTTTATTAAAAGACATACAACAACAGTTGTTTAATACAATTGTTGTTGTATGTAGTTGTTCCACCCTAAAATTTGCCCTCTGTTTTCTAATCTTATTTGACTTATGTTTGTGTCCTTATGCATTTGCCATAACAATTAACCATGCATTGCATTGAGTTCTCAAGATATGCGATCACAACGTATTTCTTGAGGTTCAGGATTTTCTTTATTTTAGAGAATGTTTCAGTAGCATTCAGAACTAAATTCACAGTCATCAGAGGCTTCAAGCATTTATTTTGCTCAACAAATGGTTTGATTACTTCAGAGTCAAGAACAAAGAGCACAGAGTTCATATGATTTGTTTCAAACAGGTTATCTATCATATTTCGATCATCATTCAAGTGTCATACCAAAGGTCGAGGTTCAGACACAGAGGCATGCTCAGAACAGATTGCAACAGGACAATTTTTTCATTTTTGCACTACTGTAACCGGTTACCCAAATCCTAATAAACGGTTACCACCTTTCTAGAAGGTGCCGAATTTTTGAAGCATGTAACCGGTTACCATGATTGGTGTAACCGGTTACATAAGATGAATTTGGTAAAAAACAACAGATTTTTCAGCACTGTAGCAGTTTGTAACTCATTTCAACTGTTTGGTCTAATATTACATCAGATGGAAGGATCTAGAACATGAAAGTCATAACTAACTCCATACCACATTTAAAATCTCATTTCGTACCTAACTCCAAAGCATATTTTCCAAACCCAATTCCAAGCCTCTTTGAGCTCCAAGCCTAATTGCTATTTAAACAAACTTGCTCCATTCCACATAGGGACCCTATTCATTTTTCTACATTTTTCTGAATTCACTCTCAATTCTCTCTCACTTCCTGCAATAGAAGTTGATTTGGATCTAGATCTGAGTTTTGGAAGTGGTTTCTTGAAGAGCTTTTGAAGTACATTCGATATCGGTTGTTTTCGCATTGTTCTTCAATTTTCTCGCTAGGAATTCATCAGATTTCGGGGTTTCATACTTTTCTCATCAAATTCCGTTTACAACAATTACCAAAGCAAATATCCACTTTGTAGGTTGGTAATTCTTGGATCCAAACTTGATTCTAGCTTGATTTTCATTTTTACAATGTATTTTCTTATGATTATTGTCTGGTTTGATCCATTTATTTGCATGCTTATTGATGTTAATGTTTAATTAATTCAATTGGTGTTTAATTGCCCATATTTGCTGTGATTTTCGTGTACAATTGCATGCATTAACATGCTACACTTGATCAATTAAGTGATTCTAGAAAAGTGTTTTTGATTGTTGTTTTAGCAGGTGTAATCAGTTACTGCATTTGGTGGAACTGATTACACCCTACTTTCTACGCCCAGGGAATGTTGTTGCTCATGGTGTAACCGGTTACACTACTTCAGGTAACTGATTACACCTGACATGTTTTGTGTTTTTAGCTTATTTTTGGGACTGTTTTGAATTCTTTCCACTTCTAACCTTCATTGCTTGATACGATTGATATTTGTGGTTATTTCTTGAGCTGTTTAACATACATTTACAGTGTTCATACGCTTTGTGATTAATTTGCGTTATTTTCCATAATTCTTGCTTGTAATTGTTAATGCAAATTCACGGTGTTCTTGATACATGCTCATGTGCATTGTTTGATGATTGCTCACCTCGCTTGATCTTGGATTACAAGATGCATGTTTATGCTAATTGTTTAATTGTTGATACATGCTAATTGCAATTTACATATTTATGTCAGTTGCTAGATCTTATGCATGTGTGTTCATGTTGCTTGAATTCTTAATGCATGATCATGATACTTGATTAGCCTTTTGGAATACTTGACACATGTTCATTTTAATTCATGCTTGATCCTTGTTGAATGCACTCATGTTGCTGATACATACATCATTGTCCTGTACATGTACGCTGTTAAATCTTCTCATTTTGTTGTTGCTGCATACATGCCTGTTATTAAAATATGTGATGTTAAATGTTGTTGTGTTGTTGTAGGAAATACATTATTGTTCCGATTTAAGCGTCGTCGTATGTTGTTGTTTGTGTTATTTCTTAGCTTTTTGCTTTCTCTTGGATGTTCCCTTAAAGCTTCCTAGTCTGACTTAATTTTTTATTAAGCTTGGAGTAGGATAGACTTTAGGTTGGTAATCCAAGCATGACAACTTTAGGGTAGCATGTCCCTCTAAATTCAACCATAAGTCCATCTTGCATGATAACATTAGGATAGAATCGTCTTGTAATTCTAACCTTAGGACCACATTGCATGATAACATCTAGGACCAAGTCTCTATTAGATTTTGCATTGTGTCTTTCTCTTCTTCCTCTTAATCAAGTCAAAACACTTAATAAATACAATGTGTATAGTGCATCATAAACCTTAAGCATGTGGGAAATGATGAGTGGGAGTCTCTTCTTACCTCATCAAGAGGGCTTTATACGTGAGTCGTCTCGGATTGTTCGTGTAAAGTGCTCGCTCCTATCGTCATAGACTTTAGCATGATACACATCACAAACCGATTCAATTCACTTTTTTAAAACACTTCAACAAATTAAAATCGTTTTCCTTCGGGATTCTCTCCTTTCTTTTTTCAAAAAGGGCAATGTTATTTACATTCTACCGCAAACAGGTAACAAGTAAGACTTCAGATAGTGAGTGACAAACACCTAAACTACTAGAACGTGAACGTTAGCATTATCCATAAAAAATATTAAGCAACCCGTGATCCCACGAACTACGGACACTCTGACTTTCTCATTCTTGTTGAGAATACGTAGGCATAAGGGCCCCAATCCTTGGCGAACAACCTTCCCTTTCACCCGTAGTCCTCCG